AAAGGACTCCTGGAGCACATTTAAAGTAACAAGTGACCTCGTCCCTCTAAGAAAATAGAATCCATAATGGCTGCAAATAAAGGAGCTTTTCAGGTAGTTCTTGGCAAATCTGCTCATTCAAAGAAATTAAACTGATGGTCTGTCTCAACACAGTAGATGAAAAAGGTTATTGAGAGTATGAGGTAGGAGAAGGCACAAAGGATTCAAGGAACAATGCTTACCTGTGCCACTTTCACGGAGAGATTTATAGATAAGTCCAATGTATCTGAAGGGCTAAAAGTATTAGTCCTATTCTTTCATGTTGAGATCTTGGAGCTTATGCCTTCTAAGGTGAGATAAAAAATCCCTCAAAAATCTCTCTTGGATTTCGTTTTCCCAAACTTGTGTATGTTACATGTGAAATTCGCTTTAGATGGTCACTGGTCTATTAACTACTAGAGTACCAGCCCGTAGGCCTCAAATTGTAAACAATCTTACTAAGGTGGTGAGTAGTGCTGACTTGCCTTTCGTATATGTGTCTAATTAGTCAGGAACATATGGAAGGAAAGAAAAAGCTGACACCATGGTTAGCACATGCCAGCACCTAGTTTGCTTCAAAGAAAGGAGTGTAGTGGCTTCTTCTGGGGGCTGGCAGAGTAGCAACCTCCTGTGGTGCAGGGGACACTACAGAACTTGCTGGGACTTGCCAAGGGAAGAGTGGCCACTTTCTCAGGAGGAAGACGATGTCATGTTCCCTTTCCCTTCCCAGTTCCTTCTAGCGAGAGACCCTCTATCTTTTTACCACCCTCCCCTAGTTCAATCCAGGAAAAGTGAGAGGTAGCAATTAATGATTAAACAGTTTCCAAATTCAAGGCAGAGAAGCAGTTTAAAAATTAGAATCTTGCAATAGATCATGACTTGCCAAAATGACAGTCCAACCGCATTTGATTCATTTTCCCTTGCGATATTCCAGTTGGATTTGCTGATAAGATTTCCTTATCCCTAGTCTTTTCTTGTTACAGCATAGGAATTATGCAGATAATTCAAGCAAATCCTTTCTACTCCTACATCACTCCAGTTACCAAGATGAATCAGACAAAACCAAAGGGTTTTTTTTTAAAGGCCTAATTATTCAGATAATTATTTCAATCTTTCCTTTCACTTGGGCTCTGAGGATATGCCCTAAAAGACTTTCCACCAAGGACTAGTACTAAGGTAGGACAAAGCAAGTTTAGCGCTTCCTTCTAAGTCTCCCCGCAGTCCAAAGTATCTGACTGTACTCCTGAAGTGCCATGACCAGCGGAATACCTGAACGTACACAATTCACAGGTGAGGATTACTTGTGTAGGTTAGTAAAAAATTTATACTTTAGAAACATATTTTCCTATTTTAGAAATATTTATGTTCAGGGTTTAAAATAAAGAGAATCCCTTTAGTACATAATGATTCGATTTATATTTAACTTATTAAGAGTTAGATCAAGTTACAATGGGATGTTACTTTGAATAGCTGTTTATTCCAAGATTTGTACTTATATCCCCTTTCCAGTCTGAATTATCTATAGAGCTCAAGAGGAAGCTGGACTGGGATTAAATCCAGATAGACTATCTCTACTGTCCTAGTTCCCCAAACAGTTGCTAATCCTTGTTGTGCACAGGAAGGCTTGGTGAAAGAGAAGATAGTATCATATAAAATTACCCTCCTTGGTACTCTTCAGCATCTCTACAATAAAAAATGTCCAGAGCAATTTGTCAATGTACATTCCAAACCCAATGGTAATGGCTACCAATAGAACCCACCCCACTCCAATCTTTGTCTTTTTCTTTTAACAAGGAAAGCTTATGTTAGTAAAGAGATTATTGAAGAGTCTCCTAATAAGCTTATGAATGCCACTTCACAGACTCTACAGAAAACAGGGCATATGAATGGTACAATGGAGTCAACTCATCTTTTTGAAAAGCTCAGCCTGCCACAAAGAAAACTTAAATTGTTTCAATTCTTAGGCCTCTGATAAAACATAACAAGTCACTTATATTTTTGCTACTCTGAGTCTCTGGAAGTAGATACTGGGGAGGCAAGTGTACTGTATAGTAAGGGAGATTATATTCAAAATCAGGACTTAAAACTGGATTAAATAATTTAGCTTTCAAACTACTCAACAGGCTCAGCTACTTATTCCGAAATATGTTCTTGTTGATGCATCTGAATCAAGTACCTTTAAGATAAAATACCTAAGTCAATAATAAAAATCTGAAAAAAGTTCTGGAAGTTAAAATTTAGTAAAAAGCCAAATATAAATGAAAGATGTGCTGAAGATCTCTGTAGACTCACAAAAATGAAAAACACTGCACACATTAGTAATTGAAAAATATAAAAGAGGGAAAGTGGGCATGTCCCACCAAAAACTGAAAACTTCAGGTTGGAGAATGAATTATTGAAAAGAATATTGTTTCAACTAAGAGACAGGAAACTCTGCTCAGAATTGACAATTGTAACAACACAGTTGGGTTGCACAAGCCCAGGTGTCTTTTTCCACACCATGATCCATGTGATGGCGCCCCCCAGCAATTGTACCCTAAGAGGCAAATACACACAAACACAATATGGTAGGTTTTTTGTTGTTGTTTTGGCATATAACTATATGTATATCTATATTTATATATGTATTGTGTAATGCAAAAGACACACTAAAATTCCTTCATCTCTCCAAACTATTGCTAAGAACCATTATCATTTTAAAGGATATAACAATCTGGATGTTGAATCACAATCTGAAGAATTCTGGAGTCCACTCATTAATTTCTTACACTGGATGTAGTTGATTATGAATTTGTATTTGGAATGGCTTCATTACATACAGGTTCTCTTTAGTATTTTGCACTATGTAAATGAAAATGTTTCTTTAAAAAATAAACAAAAAACAAGAAAGCTGTGCTTATGCATATTCTGGAGGTGATCAGGGATTGAAGCTCCTAGCTCCCTCACAGTAATTTTGACTGTATGTGGCTGAGCCTTTTCTCTAAGCAAGCTATTAGTTTTAACAAGGAAAAGAAATAAGGATATTAACTTCATGTTGCCAAAAAGAAGAAAGAGGTATAAGATATATCTGATATCACTCCCCTAAGAAAATCAATTGAAACATTTTTTTTTCCTTTTTCAGCAACATTAGTATGTGCAAAGTTTTAAGAACTCAGACTTTCCAGAGTAAAAAAAATTGCTAGAAAGTTCCTTGGGATCACCCACAGACAATAACTGTCAGTGGTTTCATTTCAGGCGATAGGCTTGTGCCAAAAGGGACTGACATCTCGATGAAAGGATCACCAAAAAGTTGTGAGATTGTTTTTCACGAGGAAAAATCCTTCCCAGAGCAACAAACTAGAATTTCCCATTCTGCCACCACACATAAAATGACAACTGCAGGAAATTAACATGTAATATTAATTCACATTTGCTTTTCTATATTCAAATGGCTCCAACTTTCATTCTGGTCTCTGGCACGAATGCTTGCCTTTTACAATGCTCATCCCCCTCTCTACTTCAGAAACATAATATTTACTCTGAGTCTGCAGGGCTAGTTTTGGCAGGGTCAAATCATCATCTGACAAAATGGCAACATACAACCTTCATGGTGTGTCTATGGCAACTCAGAATGGAAAAGATTCTGGCATATATACAAGTAGGAGGTAAGGTGGTGTGTTCCAGTCAGAATAAAAGAATTAAGTAAACAAAAATACTTTCCAGCAGTCCATTTTATTACCATCCTAATACTCTATGACAATAGCTAATTATGAATTTAATATCAAGTTAGGAATTGTTTGCACAAAGCCCATTGATTAGTTTAATTTTGCCTGTCTTGTCTTTCTACTCCAAGCTTCTTAATTGGATCATTATCAAACTGGTCCAGGCCAGACCTACTGTAGTTACTATTCTGACACCCACTCTTTTAAATAACAGGTGAAATACACACACACACACACACACACACACACATTCAAATGCTTACTTGTTAATAAAAAGCAATCTGAACTCATTTAATTGCCTGATTCATTTTTTTCCCCTTAGAAGCTTATTCTTGGACATTCTCAGAGAAAACATGAGCATATTGGATTCAGTTCTGATTCACTAAATTCTATTCTCATTTAAAAGAAAAACCTAAAACTAAATTTGGAAATCACACATTTAAGTGGGAAAGAAGTGTCTTTAAAAGCATAAATACCTGCAGCAGGATATACTATATACTTCAGTGAAAAGCTTTATATCTTTCCATTATTTTTCTAAGTTCAACCTTATTTCCAAAGAGGAAAATTTTCAGCTTAAGATACATATTCACCCGATTTAATGTGAATTCTCTCTTTTACTTCACAAGAACTCAAACATTAAGCTCTCTTCTTTATGGATCATAACCCTTATTTGAAACAGCTATCCTTTTACTTAGAGGTTAACATGCTTGACTTCTAAAGCATGTGTAGATGTCTTGTAAACAAAGTTACAAATCAGGGGGTAAAAAAGCAATAATATATTTTACACACAAACAGGACATAATAACTTACAATTTCATATTTTCACATGTATTGACTCTTAAAGACAGCACATACTGTTGCTGACCAGTTGAACCCAGATACCTAACTTCTGAAGAAGTTCTGGCCATTTGTAATGTAAGAGCCATGGCTTTGTCTGAGCCTTGCCGCCATCACCCCTTTCACGCTTGTCATAACCCATCACTTTTCTTAAAGAGCAGAGTAGTTTTTGTTGTGTGAATTAAATCAGTCTTTGCTCTGTGATTTCAGTTTTCTATTCAGAATGACTGCAAGTCAAAAGATCTAATTCACCACATCTGATTCACACACACTGCTGTAGTGCACCGTGCACAGTTCCCACATGCTGGAGATAGAATCTTTTAAAGGTCAGATGAGGTAGGAACAATGAAGACTTGAAGAGGGTGAAGGTAGGTGATTGATATTTACATGTGATAAAAACTGATGAGAAGCTACTGAGAATTTCCTCTGGTGACCAGTTCTTACCATTTTGAGAATCTTAATAGTCTTGGACTTCTATTCTCTTCAGTCCAGGGAGACCAACCTGCAAAATATATTTAAATATAGTAGACATACTACCTCATCAGTCACAGATCAGCAAAAGAAAAACCAAAATGTCCTGAGAGAGGTTACAGACAAACAACCACTCTTTGTGGCTGAGGTAAGTTATAGGCAAATGATTAAAACCACTGGGATTCATGAAGAGCTTTCCAAGTGGTCTATAGGTTGAAGTAGGGACAAAGGAATCCCTCATACCTGGCCTTACACCATCCAGAGCTATTCTTAAGTGTCTAGCTCATCTTTAAATTGGAGGAGTTCAAAAGGTTTAGCAACTTAAAAGTAGACTCAAGTGATAAAAATAGATTGTTTTCTGGCTTCTCTTTGTTCCCAGACATACTACTGGCAGTATATTTGCAATCAAGGCAGCAGAATGGGATCCAGCCTTCCACCGTAGTGTAATGCCTCAGAGTGGATATTTTTGGAAATGGCACTGCATTACATAACCTTCCGTGCTTTTTTAAAAAAGAAAGAGAGAAAGAAAGAAAGAAAGAAAGAAAGAAAGAAAGAAAGAAAGAAAGAAAGAAAGAAAGAAAGAAGAAAGATCTACACAGAGAAAAAGTCAGAAATATACCATTGTGCCCTTCTCCCTAGATCAAATAAACATTCATGTACATGCTGCAGTGATTCGTCCTCGACCTCCATGCCATCGGAACACAGCTCTTTTGTCAATTAATGTAAGTTAGGACAACATTAAGATGAATGGAACAACTAAAAGTTCTCCGAAAGGGTGTCATAAACTCTTAAGAGTTGTCTTATAATGTTGTTATACATGCATAAATGCAAATCAGATTATTATCATCGCCAAGAAAAAAAATAGTCAATTATGCTTTAGCTTCCCCCCCCCACCCAAGTTCAACTGATTTATTTTAAAAATGCAGAGGGAAAAAAAAAAAACTGTTGCAGGATAGAAAGCATGAAGACTCAGTCGCAGTAGTGCTGAAGAGTCAGCCAGTATAAGGATAAGAAGGTACAAATTCATTTTATAAAGGGGAGGGGGGGATCCTAGCAGGCACCCTGGTGCATTTAATGCAAAGAAACAAACCGGTTTCTAACAATGAGCCAAGAAGAGCAAAATCAACCACCCTAGCAAGCAAAACCCCACCCCTTCTCAAAAGATTTCATTTCTCCTTCCGACTTGAGCATGAAAAAGAAAGAAGCAGCTCAAGTTCAATTCTAGCCTTCCTGCAGCAGCACCGAGATGACAGAATTTCTCCAAGGTCTACGTTCGGGCTCTTTAAAAATTAGAGGGAAGAAAAAGCATGAACTCTGCAGGGTGGAAGAAGGGTCCAGCCAAGAGCCATGGCAAGGAATCGACACAAAAGAGAAAGCAGCGCTCCCAGCCGGAGATGGGAATGGCATATACTTACAGACAAAAGCCCGCTCCCTGCTCACTCTCTCCTCTCTACACCTGAAACACAAATGGGAATGAAAAAGGGCATCATGCTAGAAAGACAGCTGAGGGGGGAGGGGAAGGGAAAAGGGGTGGAGGAAAAGGAGGGGAGTGCGGGGGGGGGGGGGGGGGAGGAAAACAAAACCCCAAACCCGCTCACTTCCAAGAAGTGCAGCCTTGAGCCTTGGAAAAGGAGGGGAAGGTTTTCCTGCCTTGCGCGCGCTCTCCAAGTGTGTGCGTGTGTGTGTGTGTGTGTGTGTGTGTGTGTGTGTGTGTGTGCGCTCGCTCTCTCTCTCTCTCTCTCTCTCTCTCTCGCTCTCTCTCTCTCTCTCTCCTTCCTCCCTCCCCCCCCTCCTCCTGCTAGTGTACTAGTGAACAATGAGCTAATTCTGATAGGGCTGGCGCGGTGCCATCGCCCCGGCCCCGCTGCCACGGCGCTGCCGCCCAGCAGCCAGACTGCTTACTCGGCAGGAATGGGAGGCTCGGGGGGCCCCCCGCGGGCGAGCGGCCAGCGCGCGCGCTCCCCGGCACCCCGGCACCCCGCCCCGCGCGGCGCCCGGCCCCGAGTGTGGACGGGGACTGGCACGGACGCGCGAGGCCCGCGGCGCCCCGGCCCCGCCCCAGCCCGGCCCGGCCCGGCCCGGGGAGCCCGGCGAGCACCGCCGAGCACACACCCCGGCCCGGCCTCCCACGCCCCGGCCGGCTTCTACGCCTCGACGTGCGGCTGCTTTTCAGACAAATAAGGAGGCGGAGGAGGCGGTTTGGGAGCGCGCCCGGAGTGAAGGCGGCCAGGGCGCTGCACACCCGGCGGCCCGCCAGCACCGTGGGGAGAGGCGGCTCGGTCCGTACTGTAATCATAAACCTGCCGCAGAGGGCATCTGAGGGAAAGAGGACAGCGACGGGCCGCAGCCGCCTTCCCTTTTATGTGCCTGTCCTGGGCGAAGCAGAAAATGGTGCCCACGGCGGCCCAGAACGGCACACAAAGAGCGCGCCGCACGCGTCTGCTCCCGGCCCGGCCGCCCCCCCCCCCCCGCCCCCCTGCAGCCGGAGCGGAGGACGCGCGCCCCCTCCCGCCCTCGGGGAAGCCCGGGGCCCGGAGCGCCCGGGGCTGCAGGCCCCGTCCAGAGGTTCTGGGGCTGCCTGTGATGCACACGCGCGCGTGTGCGTACACACATACACACACAATGTGCTCTCACGTGCATAATTCACACGTGCAAGGTACACACGCGTGCCGGGACACACTCACACGCAGGACACCTTCACGTAAAACACACACAGTCCAAGACAGTGACCTCGTGCTCTCTTCTTCTTCCCTAAAGGCTTTAATGTATTTCCCATTCTGCACCTCTGAAACTTTTTTTATTTTAATTGTGGATTGCTTTAAAAAAAAAAAAAAAAAGCACTTTGCCATTTCTGACTTTAAAAAAAATTTAAGATAAATTTTTTCAGAAAAGTGTAATAGCTCAAAATTTTGCAACACCCTGATCATGTGCCAAGAAGGCGGGATATCACTTGGTGATAACTGTCAGATGTTAGGGGGGAGAATTATTTCCTAATTAAATTGCTTTGCCAAGAATGAGATATAAAGGATCCTAAATTCTAACTTGGCTATCTACATTTTAGTTCCCCCTCCCACTTCCTGGATGCAATGCTCTCCATTATAACAAAGAAAGTTCACAAAACTCAATTTTTAGACATGTTTACAGAATGTCTTCTTTTTCAGATTCAAACATCCTGGGCACAGAAACAGCAAATCTTAAAAAGCAATAGTTCACACTCATAATTCTAGAAGCATAAATTAACTTCTCTATAAGCTTATGACAGAACTGTGGACCACCTTTCAAACACTCAATGTCACTATAGCAACACGTTACTATTTGGACTTTACTGAGTATGGTGTTTGCAGAACACAGGAGGAGCTTCTCTGAATTTCATTTTCCTGGAAAAGAAACACCACTTATCTGGGAACTAAGTTGGAAAATAAAGAGAAAAAGTGAAATTCAGCCAAATTTCCTTATGCATTCAGGGCTCAGGGTCAGTGTTTGCAGAAAGAGCTGGAAAGAAAGGGTAAGGAGGAGGTTGGGTGTGAGAGAGGAAAGGGCCTAGAGGTTGCTTTTCTAGCCTACCACTCCAAGAGGCCAGGCCAGGACACCTAAGTCCACATGGGAAAGATATCCAAGGGGACACTAACAAAGATGTACAAAATCTATCCCAGGAACATTGGTTCCAAAGTTGCTTCTCCAAGGAAACAGACATAATACAGAGAGAGAGAGAGGAAGAGAGAGACAGAGAGAGACACTCAGAGAGAGAGAGAGAGGGAAAATGGGAAAGGAAAAGAGGGAGGAGAGATGGCCTTTACCTAAGATGTTCTCCTAAACTAAATTGGGAATTATTTTTATCTTTTCTTTTATCTTTACTTTTATCTTTTCTTCATTGTAACTATAGACATTCAAGTGGCAGATTTTTTGAGGATTAACACTGCCTCAGAATCATGATTTGTTTATTTGTTGTGTTCCAGAAGCCATCATAATACAGCTATCCATTCTCTTTTTTTAAATTTTCATGTATTTAGTTATTTTATTTTGTTTACTTTATTGGTTTTATAAAGGTGATGTACAGAAGGCTTACAATGACATGAGTCAGGTAATGAGTACATTTCCTTTAGTACAGTGTCTTCTGTTCCCTCATTCTCTCCCAGTCCCTCCCTCCTGTCTCCACCCACGAGTTGTGTAGTTTATTTTTATCAGTGTCCAGTGAACTCCACTACTGCACTTTTTCACCCTTTCTCCCTTCAGTTCTGTACCTCCACCCCCAAATATATGCACATGAACACACCATATGTAAGGTCCCAGCCTAAGTGCAGTGGATGAGGCCAACCACTTCAGAATAAAAAGGGAACAGTCACCTCATTCAGAACTTTAGTATGGCCATTTCATGATTTTCCTTAACTGCTCTGCCCTTCCCCTCCCCTCTCTATCCTGCAGATTCTGAAGTAGACCCATCTCCCAAACTCCTTTTATAACTTGCTCTTGAGGCCCTACTTAGCATCACAGTATAACTTCCCAACCTTACATCAACCTTTCCCAAACCACTCAACCTTAGTCCTTGTGGGTGGGATTGATTCCTTAGGGTGGGTGTTCATGCCTCCTCCATCAGGAAGCTTAAGTCGCTCAAAGGTTGGCCAGAACTGGGAGGTCTCCAATGTTCAGCAATGTTGACACTTAGAAAGGAATGAGTCTTTGATGAATCAGGAGGGGTTGGGGAGGAGGCTGGCCTGTGCATGTGGCCTCTGCCAATGGGAGGCCAGTAACCAGCCCCAGGGTGACAACCAAACCTGTCTGGACAGTACCAAATGTCACTCTGGGTGGCAATCTCACCTTAGTTGGGAAACACTAGCTTTAACTTACAATCAGGCCTGCTCCCTGAGGAGAAAGAGTCTTCCTTGAGTCATGTGAACTGCATGCAGGAGGGACAGAGACCTGTACAAAATCAGAGTATTCTTAGGAAAGAGACAGAGGAAGCAGTCAGTATCCTTATCTTCATGGTATTTGCAGTCTAAATTAGAGGATGCAAAGAGAGGCATATCCAAGATTACAGCTCAGTGTAATATCGACAATTGTGGGGTTTGGAAAAGGGAAGTTCTGAGATCCTTTCTAAATCAAACCAGAGGAACAAGGAAGTCTCCTAAAGCAGATATGCCTAAGCTGACTTTGTCAAGAATGAGCAAGAACCAGCAAATGCGGACATTCCAAGAGGACATCTGGTGAGTGAACACACTCAGGTGGTATAAGAAAAGAACATTAGGCCAGGCACTGGTGGCTCATGTTAGTAATCCTAGCTACTCAGGAGGCTGAGATCAGAGGATCAAGGTTCAAAGCCAGCCCAGGCAGGGAAGTCCTTGAGACTTTTTTCTCTAATTAACTACCAGAAAACCAGAAGTGGTGCTGTGGCTCAAGTGGTAGAGTGCTAGCCTTGAGCTGAAGAGCTGAGGGACAGCACCCAGGCCCTGAGTTCAAGCTCCATGAGAAAAGAAAAAAAAAGAAGAAAAAAAAGAAAGGAAGGAAGGAAAGAGAGAGAAAAGAAGATCAGAAGGTCAGAAAATAGCTTGTGCCAAGTCATTCTATCCCTCGCAAGTGTACCAAAGAGTAGTTCATTACACAATTTGATCAAAAAGAGGGGGTGTGCCTTACAAGCAGGTTTTCTCCTCCATCTCAGAGAATTCAATCTCAATATACCCTGATACAGCCAAATGTATCTCACATTCCTGGAACCTTGTCTCAGTGCCATTGTCTGGGAGCTAACAAGTCCCATGACTTTGAATTCCTGACAAAAGGCTATGGGGCAAAGTAGTAAGAGCCAGCTCTGTGTGACCTTGGAGACATTATTTAACCATTTCATGTCATTTTCTTCACATTTGTTACAGCATCAAAGCGCTGTTTTGTATGGCGTTGTGAGCAGTGTTTGACAGGTAGTTGGCATTACATACTAGATAAGAACAGGCATAGGTTTCTAGAATAAAACGCAAGTGATATTCCTGCCTTGGCTTCTCATTCTGGCCTTCATTCTTGACCCTCTCTAGGGAGACTGAATGAAATACAGCTTCCTGGTGAGCTACACTGTTGTACAACACGTAGGCCTTTTCACTTGTTCTGGTTTCTTTATTCAATTTTCTGTCTCTTTCTCCTTCCTTAAAATATCTAGCTTAGGGCTGGGAAAGTGGCTCAGTGGTAGAGCACTTGCCTTGCATGCATGAGGCCCTGGGTTCGATTCCTCAGCAACACATAAGCAAAAAGAGAAAAGCCGGAAGTGGCGCTGTGGCTCAAGTGGTAGAGCACTAGCCTTGAGCTGAAGAGCTGAGGGACAGCGCCCAGGCCCAGAGTTCAGGCCCCACGACCGGACCAAAAATAAAAATAAAAATAAATAAATAAAATATCTAGCTTAGGGACCCAGTGTGGTGATGTACACCTGTAATCCCAACACAAGTAGGCTGACAGGAAGGTCACAAGTTTGAAGTCAGTTTGGCATACGTAGGGAGACCTTGTCTCAAAACAAAAACCAAAAAAGAGTTAATTTTGGTGCTAGCTCAGTGGTAGAGCATATACTAGCATGCACAAATCCCTGGGTCATTCCCCAGTGCTGCAGAAAAACAATAGTTTAGGAAACTTTCTTTGATGACCTCATATGATTTAGAAAGGAGTTGTGTTCACAGTGAACCTGTACAGATCTCTATGCTTGTTTTTTTTCACAATGCATGGCTGTGACTTT